AGGTTGTTTCCATCTTTTGGCTATTGTAAATAGTGCTGCGATGAACATGGGTGTGCATATATCTGTTCTTGTCATGGCTCTCACTTCTTTAGGGTATATAACTAGTAATGGAATGGCTGGGTCAAATGGTATTTCTAATTCCAAGTACATGTATTACTTTTAAATAAGAAAAATAATGATAAAAGTTTTTAAGCAAAAAAAAATCTGATGTACAGAGAGATTGGAATAGTCTTTTGAAGTTGTTTCTTTGTGGTCCTTCTTAAAATGTTTTTTCACAAATATCCTTGGATATCTCAGACACAGTGGTAGAATAGATGGACTAGTGATGTGAAAGAGTTCTTTTCTATATACATATTATTCAGATACATTTTCAAAGCATTATCCTAGGGTCAGGGATTAAAACTAAATCACATTCATTAACACCTACCTTAATAAATCATTTTATTCTTTTCAAGAACATACTTTTGAAGAACAACGTTCTGATACAGAAAAGAATCTGAACCAAGGATCCAGCTTGATAGAAGCCATCTTTAAAGTACTATACCATTGCAATTTTTCTCCACAAATATTTGGAAATGTTTTTGTGAGCTACATGGAAGAAGAACAACTATGGGACTTTTTATATAACATTCCAGGTATGAGTAATTTGCTACTTGTAAAAGAAACATTTTTTAGATACTTAAAATGTGCCTTTAAAGATATTTTTAAAGTTTTATTGATATCAGTTTTGCTGAATCCATTGTTTATAAAAGTTTAACTTACAATATTTTTCTGTATCAAGGTTTCTGTTGGGAACCATTAATCATTAGTCCCTGTGTAAATTTAGTGTAGTTCAAAGTAAGATGCAGGGAAATGTTGAGTAGGGAATTTAGGTAATGCAGATTTCTTATTTATTTTTATTATTGGGAAATATTCTATCATAAAAATTTAATTTAATATTTATCACAAATTATGTTGTACTATTGAGTATATAAGGCATTAGTAAGCTTTGGATAGATATTTTGTGATTCTTGGGTGCATTCATTCAACAATTGATAGACGAAAACTATTGGTTAATTTTCTTTAAATGTATAGACTATTTATTATGAGCAAAGAGCCTCTGTCTCTAAATGTCAAACTTGTTTTATCATTCCTTTGGGTACAGTATGTTTTCCCCATCTATATGTTCTTCTGCCCAGAGCTAGAAAGTATGTTAAGACAGAACAGGTTGTCTATCTGAACTAGAGGTGTTGATAGGTGACCCTATCTATAATCAGGGATAGATGTGAAAATTCTCACCTTGTTTTATCCTTAAGATCCTGCCTTCAAATCTCCATATTTAATGTTTTGGGAAGAACAACAGATAGGAAGAGAGGCAGTGATCATTTTCATTAGCCTGTTGCTCCATTAATCATTTACATTATTTACATTTGACTTTTAACTTATAAGCTTCTTGCTCTGTCTTGGAACCAGTACTTTCATGAAATATTTTCCTACTTACTAATTGTTACTGAGTTGCCTCCAATTCATGACAACCCCATGTATATCAGAGTAGAACTGTGCTCCACAGGGTTTTCAGTTAATGATTTTTAGAAAGCAGATTGTCAAGCCTTTCTTCTGAGTCACCTCTGGTGAACTTGAACCGCCTATATTTTGATTAGTAACTGAGCACATTAACTGTTTGCACCACCCAGGAAATGTTTCCTAGGCACCATATTAAAAAAAAATAGTAATAATTTGATCATAATATTGAGTTTCATCCTTCCTGGACTTTTTTGACTATCCTTCAGATATTACTTGAATAGCATTTTAGTTATTTCCAAGATAATTATATTTCATTTTTCCTTGGGTACTAAGTGATTAAGACATTTGGCTGCTAACCGAAAGGTCAGTAGTTTGAACCCACCAGTTGCTCCATGGAAGAAAGATGAGGGAGTCTACTTCTATAAAAATTTACAGCTTTGGAAACCCAGTGGGGGTCACTAAGAGTCAGAATAGACTTGAAGGCACTGAGGTGTTGTTTTTTGTTTTTTGTTTTTTTTTGTGAATCTTGTAATTGGCAATAGAAAACATTATGTATGGTTTAAAAAATCTGAACAAATCTATTTAAAGATTCTGTAATAATTACCTCTTTTTTAAGGTTTATCTCCAAGTTATCATGCATTCCCTTCATTACTTCCTGTTTACTCAAAGATAGACAGTTTCTAGCTTAAAAGGTTGAATTGGAAGCTTATAGGGTTTCTAATATAGACTTTATTGAGCTGAAAGAAAATCAACCTTGAAACTCCTCCACCCCTGTGGTTTTAATTTGTGTCTGGAAAAGTGTGAGTTGAAGTCTCTTACACAGTTATAAAGAATCAGTGACCTGAATGTTTTAACCAATATTTATCCTTCAACTATTAATTTATTGAGCCATTTTTGACACTCAGCTCAAAATTGTACTGAAAATGACCTGGAAGCTATCAGTTGCTGGCAAGAGAAAGCAAAATTGCTACTTGCTCCTAATTTATCTTCTCTTCATCTATACATTGAGCTATCAACTTTGTTCCTTATGGAGTACGCTGGCCTTTGAAATACCCAAGTACACTGCCCTGTACAAGGTCAGTATTTGCTGTACAGTATTTGCATTTTACCATTAAGAGATCTAAAATATATGCTTCAGTCAATATAATTTAACTTACCCAAATCAGTTGGAGTATATTGTTTTAAAAATTTCCTCCTATGTTTCCTCCAGCTGAAACACAGTCAATGATTTCAACATATCTATTCCATAACACATTATAGTCTTATCAGTTAGGATGGAAAAACTAGGATAAAATACTCACTATCTTGGACAGAACAGTATTTCATTTTTTTATACTTAAGGTCACTAAGAGTAGGAGCCAACTCCACAACACCAACAACAGTCCTCATTTTATTGCTGAGGAAACCAAGCCCTGAGAATATTAACACACTTGTCTAAGGTTGTATACCGATTAAGTTATTGAATCAGAAATAAAAGACAGATTGCCTGGCTGACACGCCATGTTATTTCGGCGTTTATTTATTTATTTTTTTTCCTAATTCAACTAAAAGTTTTGAGATACTTCTTGACATATGAATTCAGTAATGAATAACAAAAAAAATTACATAAGAGAATTTGTGTGCAGGGGAGTGGGGGGGATTGTATGGGAACCCTGTGTTTTTGCCAAATTTTTATATAAACCTAAAAGTGTTCTAAAATATAAAATGTATTAAGAAAAAAGATTATATAAAAGGTAAAAATACAAGGTAGTATCCCTACAGAAATAGATTGCCCAATCTTCCTTCTGAGGAGTGGCTGGTGAGTTTCAACCACCAGCCTTCTGGTTAGCAGTCAAGTGCCTTAGGCACTATGCCACCAGAGCGCCTGTATAAAAGGTAGAAGTACAATAAATAAGCTTGGGTATTTCAAAGGCCAGCACACTCCATAAGGAACACAGTTGATAGCAATCACTCTAGGCTTTTGTCTTCAAAATAGTCCAAGCAGTCATCAATTGGACAAGTAAAAATATCAAAGCACAAATTACTTCAACTGTTCTTAGCCACCCTATTTTTCACTCTCTCTTTTAAGAAAGATAGAAGTCTTTAAACACATGGCCTGCCTCGGAAACCCAAGGAGGGGTCGCTGTGAGTCGGGTTTGACTCGATGGCATATAACAACAACAACAACGAGTTAAAGACAATGTCAAAATCTTGTCCAAAATGTCTAGTATAACATTATCATAATATACCGAAACAGTGTTTTTTACTTGGCTCCTCATGGCATTGGCCTTAATTTTGTTTTCGGAATTGATCCTCAGAACCCTCTCATAATCTTTGAGAAGAAAACTTTTCATGTCTTTTAACAAAATTTCCCAGTTAAACTTTGAACTCCAAAGTTTCCATTTTGTGCCTCTCCACTCATCCTCTCCAGCCTCATAACTCAAAAAAAAAAAACAAAAACCCACTGTGGTCGAGTTGGATCCACCTCATGGCAGCCCCTTCTTGGGTTTCCCAGGCATTATCACTACGAAAGTAGATTGCCCAATCTTCCTTCCAAGGAGTGGCTGGTGGGTTTGAACCACCAGCCTCTGGTTAGCAGTCAAATGCCTTAGGCACTATGCCACCAGAGCTTTTTACAGCCTCATAAAAGCCTTGAAGGGAGATCTGGGGACATAGTGCCTAAGGCATTTGACTGCTAAGCAGAAGGCTGGTGGTTCAAGCCCACCAGCCACTCTTCAGAAGGAAAATTGGGCAATCTACTTCCACAGTGATACCACCTCAGAAACCCAAGGAGCGGCCGCTATGAGGTGGATCTGACTCAACCACAGTGGGTTTGGTTTTGAAAAAGCCTTTAAAAAGAGTTCTTTAGAAAGCATATGACATTGGCTGTATTATGTTCTTGTTGCTAAAATTACTTACAGTGTTTTTCTTTTCTAATAGACACAACAATTTTTTTAATTTTACCTACACAAATACTTTCAACACAGTGTAGGTAGATTTTAAATGTAAGTTTTCAAAAATTAGCAGATGGTCTTTGTTCTTTATTGTAGCCATTTATTCTGAGCCTTTTACTTGGTATTCCAGTCTTTCTAATTGCAATGCAATTTTTTAAAAAAGCTTTTATTACTGAGATATAATTTACATACAATAAAACAGACTCATTTCAAGTAGAGTTCAATAAGTTGTGACCAATATATAAACCAGTGTTACAATGATCACAATCAAGATATAGAACATTTCCATCATTTCCTATGGTTCTTTAATCCCCTTGGCAGTCAATTCTTCCTCTAACCCCAGCTTCAGGCAACGTTGATCCGCTAACACTACAGATTAGTTTTGCCTATTTTAGAATTTCATATAAACTTCATATTCTTCTGTGTGTGGCTTTTTTGAGGTTTTTTATTTTATGCTTCTATCAGTAGTTTATTCCTTCCCATTGCTGAATAGTATCTCACTGTATGCGTATGCTTGTTGTTGTATGCTGTCGAGTCGGCCCCAACTCATAGCGACCCCTCCTTGGGTTTCCGAGGCAGTATCACTACGGAAGTAGGATTGCCCAACCTTCCTTCCGAGGAGTGGCTGGTGGGTTTGAACCGCCAGCCGTCTGGTTAGCAGGCAAGTGTCTTAGCCACTATGCTACCAGAGCTCCCATGCGTATGCTACAATTTTTTAAAAATCCATTATAGTTGGATGGACACTTGGGTTGTTTCCATTTTGAGGCTATAATGATTAAAGCTGCTGTGAACACTACAGTACAAGTCTTCATGCAAGCACGTTTTCTGTTTTGTTTTTGCTCTTGTTTGTTTTGGTAAATGAAGGTTTTTATTTCTTTTTACTAACTACTACAAAGTAGAATTGCTGGGTCATATGTTAAGTATATACTTAACTTCATAAGAAACTACGAAACGATTTTCAAAGTAGTAATATCTTTTTTATATTCCTGCCAGTAATGTATGAGAATTTCAGTTGTCCCATACCCTTGCCAGTACTCAGAATAGGCAGTCCTTTTGATTTTAGCCATTCTAATAGATAAGTATACTATCTTGTTGTGGTTTTAATTTACATGTCCCTCATGACTAATGACCTTAAACACCTTTTTCATGTTCTTAATGGCCATTTGAAAAATAAATAAATAAACACAACAACTTCTTTT